CGCGCACACACGGGCCCAGAGGCGGGCGCGGAGGGCATCCAGCGGCCTGCGCCTGGCACGGCCCCCCTCCCCCCGCCCCCGTGGGCAGGGCGCTTGATTTCGGCTGCCCCTGCTGGCCCTGCCTCTCCTGAGGGGGGAGAAGTCACCGAAGTTCCCCCCTCAGGAAGGGAGAGGTCAGCGAGCGGAGCCCCTCGTCCTGTACCCCCCCCCCCCAGGGAGAAAGTCCTTTACATGGGACAGATGAGGAGGGTCATGCTTACGTTGTTACTGTGGGTATCTCCAGGGGCTGTGTTTATCAAGGTCCCATTGCCCCTTGTCTCATCACCGCTGCTTGCTTTTATCCTTGGAAGAAATGATGATGCTCTTCCAGGAGTGCTGGGGAAGAGCGGCGGGCATGTACGGAAGTTGCTCGGTTCACCATTTGCAGCACTTTATTGCCTTGACTTAACAGAAGTGCATTGGTTTACAGCACTTTAAAAATGAACACAGCACTTCCATTTGAAGCTCTGTATTTTACAGCGCTTTAAATAACTTCTGTACGCTGGGCACGTTTCGGAGCAGTGGAGAAGTCCCAGGAGGCTGCAGAACACCCCTGCCTCCTAGCTTGGAAAGTGCAGGTAGGCTCAGAGCCCCACCCCCCAACGTTACACCTGTCATGTTTAAGAGCTTGTAACTTTATAATGCTATAAAAAGTGCTGTAAACTATAGTGCTGTAAAATGTGCCTGGAGCACTTCTGTGCACACCCTGAGTGATGATGACAAGTTGTCTCCAAGTAGACAGCCAGTACTGTAGACTGGCTGGGTTAGCCAAGGTGCTGTGCTACTGAACCTACAAGAGGCTGAGTGAGTTTAGTGGGAGTTCAAAGTGTTTAGCATCCATGGCTCATAAATGTGCCTTGTACCAGATGTTGGGCCCAGCATTTGCTGAACAAGTGCAGCTATTAGAAAGGTTGCAAAGGAATTACAGCAGAAGGGACTTGTTGGTGTATTAGGAGAGATGAGACTGCTCTACTGAATTGATCCCTGAGGTCTCTAGTAGTGACGGAGGGAGACCTAGTACAGATAAATGCGCCTATGTAGTAGTCAGACAAGGTTCTTTGGGTGAATCTGATATCTTTTATTAGGCCAACTTCCATAGTTGGAAGGGTTTTTTTTAGCAAGCTTAGTAGTAGCTGCCAACATTTTAATCGCAGTAACTTGTAGACCTGAGCAGGGTTAGTTGCCTGGACTTTCACTTACAGCATTACTCCTGACACTATGTAGCAGACATGGCCTAAGTAAAGGTAAGAAAATTTTAGAGAAAAAAGGCAAGTGTGATGACTATGAGGTTGAACTAGATGACCTCTCGAGGTTCCTTCCAGTCCTACTTCTCTATGAAAAGCCCACTTCACTGGTTTCAATTCATATAGCTTCATTGGTGCCTATTAATGCAAACTAGAGGTGGCCAGAAAGGCAGCTTACAGTCATAAAAATAAAACTCCACAAAAATGGCCCTTTACTTAACACTTGGCATGCCCCCGCGCCAAACCTAGCACATGCCCAGAAGAGGCATTGTGTTAGTTTGACCTGACTCACCTAATATCTGTATAGATGAGGCTCTTCAGTGGGGTCTTTTTGGCACTTTTATCTAAGAGCTGATTGAATCAGTCCTCAGACAAAAGCGGCACACGCGATCTATACAGATGCTGTGGAGCTGAGTGGAACTAATGCACTGCTTCTTACGGTGAAGTGTATTGGGGGGGATTTTTTCACGTCTGTCAGCAGCCAAAATTTCCAGTGGAATAAAATTTCATCAGTTAAATTCTGCTTTGTTGAACCAAAGATAGTTCATATGAAACCTCTCAGGCTGAGTGAGCTTTCACTCATTCCAAAGGAGGATTCTAAAGGCCTAGATTGCCGGCAGGTCTGCCTTGTGCTGGGGACCCTTGGACCTTCCTGCAGCAGCTCTGCAAAATTGACATTTTTTGTCAGCTTCATTGCTGACATGATTGTCAGTTTCACTGGGCAGCTGCAGGGGCCAAGGAGCTTCCAGTTTGTCAGAACTGGATAGAAACCAAATTTAAAACAATATAAAAAGACAGCTCTCATTTAAACTGAAGATTACTCAGTTCAGCCGCACAAACATTAGACACTCGTCATTACCTGTGTACCATAGAAGAAGCTAGGGCAATGAAAATTATGAGGTTAGTCTGAAGAAGACAGATATATTTCTTAATAAGTTGTAAGTGTCTTGTGGTAGCTAGTCTTTCATTCTGATATGAGTCTATTGTTTTCCTTCAAATGTATTATAGTAGCAACTATTTGTAAGCTATCAAGTGAGAAAAATGAGGCCCAATTATAGTGAGGCTGCCAGTGCCAACCCTTTGCTGACATCTGCAATTAATTTTATTTTAAAATTTGAAACACCAAAATGAAAATAGTTTCTAAACAGATGTCTAAGGGCTTGAGGATGTGAATATAGAATAAGCATGTGAAACAGTCTTGCTGTTTGCCCTTGGATCTGATATCAGGAGTTTCTAGATCAAGTTCTACTTTTTAAGAACCTGGGGTGGTATTTTGACCCTGCTGAAGTCAAAGATTGTTTTCCTGTTATCTTCCATGGGGCCAGAATTTCACCCAAGGATCCAACTGGCTCATTCTTAGCCAAGAAAAGTATTTCCTTTTTATATGGTACTGAAACTGTTGTTTTGAAAAATTTAAACAAAAACTAGAATTTTAAAACTGGCTCCTTTTCTTGGGGCGAATGCATTGGGGTGAATCTAGCTTGTGCCTGAGACTTGGTAATACTCTTTAATTATCAAAAAATATTTGTTGTTCAAGTAAGCATGTTTTATCTTTAGTTAGAGCCAATTTTACAAAATGATGCACAATAATAGACACCAGTAGGCAAAGAGTCTTGTACTGTAAACAATGTACAAATGATGAGGATTTGGGAGACGCAGATGACAATCCTCTGGGCCCTCAAAATTAGGTCTTACTTTGCATTATTGCAGGGATGCTCAACCCTTGGCCCACAGGCCAGATCTGCCTATGTGGCCCACAGGGCTCCCCAAGGGTCTGGAAATTTGGTGAGGAGGGAGCAGCCTCAGTTAATCCTGGCACCACTCCCCCACCACAACATTTCCAAACCCCACAACCCAGGTGGCGTAGCTCTAGGCGCAGAATCACGCTGGCATGTAGGGCTGGAGCAGCAGGCCTGATCTGACGTGTGGGGCTTGGGCAGTAGGGCCTAATGCAGTGCATACAGAGCTGGGGATGAAATTGAGGCATCAAGCCCAATTTAGTGTGTGGGGAGCTGGGTTGGCAGGCCTGATCGGGGGCACACAGGGCCAGGCCTTGGGTAGTGGGGCCTGATCCAGCGCACTCAGAGCCAGGTCTGGGGCTTAGGCAGCATTACCGGATCCAGTGCACAGGTGATCAAAACTGTGGCTGGGGCAGTAAGCCTGGTCCAGTGTGAAGCCAGGGCTGCCACCTACGATATGACATTCAGGATCGTGCCCCAGCACTGTGTGTGCAGGATCAGGCCCACAGATTGAATTTGGCCTGCAGTCCCACCCCACCCCACTCATCCAGCCACAGGGCCAAAAGGGTGGCATCCCTGTGCTATTGCAAATGTATTTTAATGAGTGTGCAGAATTAAGTTTATTTCTAGTTTATGCATTGCTTTTGATAGGAGAGGTTTATGTCTGCATCTAGCAAAATAACCCAATATCTGTGGTTATAATGCAGCTAAAAACAAGATTATAGGAACAATCAAGTGGATAATAGAATTATCAAGTCCCTGTCCAGTTTTGTGTTTTTTATAACATGTATGCGGTTTGCTCTACTGCCCATTGAACTTGATGAGGGCATTTCCATTGAGTTCAATGAGCTCAAACTCAGGCCCACAGTTTCTAAAACAGTTGGGGGGCTGTTACAAACTTGCATAAATGCTTATTTTCTCTCAAGAATAGTTTTGCTGTAGGGGTTTAATGGCACTTTTCATTGGAGCTTAAATTTATATTCTGAATGCTGGCTGCCTAAATTATGTAAAATTGTTTGAATAGGTACACAGTACTGCAAATAGGCTTGTCTGTGACGATTTATTTTTCCCCTCAGAGTGCAATATTGACAAAAGTCTGCTTCCATGACAATGCATGACAGATTTCTTAATCATCTGATGCCACTAAAAACAAGGAGTGGTTTTGCTTCATCTTCATGTTAGCTCCTTCTTTTGTCTTAATGTGTATTTCCCAGATCAGTGTTGCCCAACTTATTGGTTTTGTAGGCTGAATGAGTGGTACAGGATGAGCCTGCAGGCTGTCTATGAGCCCTATCCAGTGTGTATAAGGCTGCGGCCTGCTCTGGCACGCTCTGGATCAGGCTCTGGGCTTGCATATCATATCATGGTACTAGCCCCATGCCAGATTAGGCCCACCACCCAAGCCCAGCCCCAACTCCAACCACACGTGCACTGGATCAGGTCTGCCACTCCAATTCCAGCCCCATCCCTGTACGCGGTGAATTGGATGCATTGTCCTGGCTCCAGCCCTTACTGTGTGTGCTGGATCAGACCTGCTGCCCCAGCCCCTTGTGTGCTGGATTAGGTCCTGCCATTCCAGTGCTGGCCCTATACATGACCAATCAAGCCCCACTGCTCTGTCCCCAGCTCCAGTCCTGACTCTGCGTACATCAGATCAGGGCTGCTGCACCAGCCCCAGCCCTGGTCTCAGTCCCACATAGACTGGATTGGGTCATGCTTCCCAAGCCTCAGCCTCATGCACACCAGATCAGACCGTGCCACCTGGGTTCTGTCTCTGCACAAGCCTGATTGGGCCCTGCCACGTTAGGTCTGGCCCCATGCACGTGAGATCAGGCGCACTTCTCTGACCCTGGCCCTGCATGTACTGGATCAGGCCTGCTGCCACAGCTCCATGTGCACTGGATCAGGCCCCACCACCCTGCTCCCAGCACTGTGAGTGGTAGATTGGACCTGCTGCCGCAGCTCCAGTTCCTGCCCCAGCACTGAGCTGGGGCAGGAATGAGCCCATGCATGGCCTCGCATGCATGGGCTCATGCATGCGAGGCCATGTCATCTGGCCCACAGAGACTGGAAATTTGGCAATGGGGGAGTGCTGATGGATTTAATTGATGCTGTTTCCTGCTCCCCACATTTATGGACTCTTGGTCTAAATTGAAGAAAGTATGAAACTTATAAAAGGGTCTACAACAGGGGCAGGCAATTATTTTGGGCGGAGGGCCGTTTACTGAGTTTTGGCAAGCCATTGAGGGCTGCATGACAGGCAGCCAGGGGCAGATTAATAGTAATTTTCTAAATTTTTTAGGGGCCCCATGGGCCAGATAGAATGTCTTGGTGGGCTGCGTCCGGTCTACAATGTATGATAGGCTGTTTGCTATATGTTAAAGTTAACTATGTTGTACTAAAATAGCCTTCCTGCTACTTATTTAAAATATATACAGTTCTGTATATTTCTGTATTTTTAAACTGAAGACAATTTGCAAAATAATTTTATTAAAGTATAGAGCATCATAGTCACACCAGCCAAGATTCAGTGTTTGTTTGTTTGTATGCAGACATTATCTACTCTTTAAATGTTTCAGAGTGATGATGCAACCGAACTGACAACTAAGCCAAAGAGAAGCTTCTATGCAGCAAGAGATTTGTACAAGTATCGACACCAGTATCCAGTAAGAAGATTTTTTTTGGTTTAAAACCCTGTTTTAATAAAGTACAACAACATCCAAATGAAATCCCTAAGCCATATCATACCCTAATAAATATCAGAAATGAAAAAGCAGAAACTGATGGAATGGCTGAAAATGCCAAAAAGGAAAGTATGGAACCAATGTGACACTGTTTCCTGCCAAACCTGTACAACTTCTTCCTGCAAACTCTAGAAATTGGGGGACACATTAGACTGTCAGTGGAGGAAGAGCCATGACACATCATGTTGTCCATTAGTAAATCTTTGGAAATTACCAAGGAGATGCTGGCATGTCAATTATTGTGTTACAGAAGCACCCTGAGGCTTCAACTGAAATCAGGGTCCTGGTGCTGTTAGGAGAATCCTTACCCCAAACAGTTTTTCATCTTCTGCATCTTTCAAACACTTATGCATTTACTTACCTTTAAGCATGTGTGCAATTCCCAGAGGTTCAATATTTTCTCAAGCCTGCATTTGTTGTCACCAAACTATGAAAAGAGCTGAATGCCAATATCTTTCTACCATTGATACTTGTCTTGCAGATGGATAATACTTTTATTTTTTCCTTTTCAGCAGAACTTTAAGGATCTTCGATATCAAAATGACTTGTGTAATCTCCGCTTTTATAAGAATAAAATTCCCTTTAAACCTGATGGTGAGTAATCTATAACAGCATAAGGGTTAACAGAAGTATAAGAATAATAATGAGGTAAAACTGAATGGATATTTATGATGCTAGGGGTAAGTTTTCTGCAGTTCATGCACCATCACAGCAAAAAAGAGATTTTAGGAGACTTGAAAGAAAATGAAAAACAAGAATTGAATGTTTCCAGCGTTAGAAGCTACACGTGAGAGAGAATGGAGTCATGTATATGAAAATTGAACAAGTGGGAGATGGAGACTCTCATTATGGGCCAGTTAGAGGCAGGAGTCAGGTCTTCTGACAGTGAATGAGATAAAATATTGGAGGAGAGGCCCAGGAGAGTTTTGAAAGTTAAGACATAATAGGTTATTTTTAATGAGATAGGAAGGGGGAACAAATGGGGTGATTCAGAGAAAGTGGTGACATGGCAAATGGTCCTTGCAGCAGCGTTCTGGCAAGGTAGGATTGCATTTGTCAAAGTCAGAGAAAAGGATGTTTCAACAAATTGAGATACAAGATTACCAAAACCTGGATGGGACTTTTAATTTTGTGCACAGATAGGAAAGGTTTTCTTATGCAGAAAGAACTGGTAAGATTGAGACATAGCTTGGCTATGACAAAGTACAAAATCATAGAAAAGTAGGTCTGGAAGGGACCACAAGAAATCATCTAGTCCAATCCCCTGTTCAAGGCAGAAGCAACCCTGTCTAAACCAATGGAAGCAAATCTTTGTTTAACTTGCTCTTAAATCTACCAAGATTAGGGGTTCTGCAAACTCTTAAGTAGTCTGTTCAGGTGCTTAACCATTCGTACAGTGACAAAATTCTTCCAGAATTCAAGCTAAATTATCCTTGTTGCAATTTAAAGCTATTATTTCTTGTTCTATTTTCTGGACCAGAGAAAACAGTCATCATCTTTATTATCACCCTCTAGAAGCTTTATGGAGACTTATAAAATTAAGACATAAAATAATTCTCAGTCTTTTCTTCTCCATACTAATCCCAGTTCTACTGACCTTTCCCTGTAAATCATATTTTGTAGACCTCTAATTATATTTGATGCTCTCTGCTGGACTCTTTTAATTTGCCCACAACTTCCTTGAACTGCCATGCCCCAAACTAGACATGGTAATCCAAGTGAGGCCTCATCAGTGCTGACAGAGTGGGAAAATTACTAATTTGACTTGCAAGTGACAGTCCTATAATACAGCTCAGAAGTTTTGGCCTTTTCTGCAAAAAAGAGTGCACTGTTGACTAAAATTCAGCTTATGGTTCACTATAACCCTTAGGTCCTTCTCTGCGGCACTGCAGCCTAGCCAGTCTATATATGTGCATATGATTGTTCTGTCTTATGTGCAGCACTTTGTGCCTCTTGTCTTTATTGGATTTCATTTGATTAAACAGAAAAAAGGACCAGAGTCATCAAGGTTATTCTGAATATTCTGTCCTCCAAATTGCCTGGAACAACCCCCACTCTGGTGTAGGTAATTTGCTTACTGTATACTCCATCTCATCCTCCAAATCATTAATATTGGGTACTATTTAATATTTTAATTAAAGGGCTGGATGGCACTGTAGGCAGTGGCAAACATGATTTAGTTGCGCTACTGGGATCTGACAAGTGATATCCTGAGTCTCAAAAACACATTCTGCCATGCCAAACATTCACAGCAGGATATGTGATTTTTTGGGGGGGATTGGGTGTAAAATTAATTCAGTCCCAAATGAGTGACTGCCCAAATGCAGGAAGCCTGGAATTTGGACTGGAGTGGACTGAATGAATACCATGGCATGGGCAGCTGGGGATCAGGGAGCTTTTATGTGGCTGCCTGCACTGTGGATCGTCTTCTCTCATATTCTTCATTTCCTCCTCAACACATAATTCATGTGACAGAGCCACACAACTGCTTTATTGCCGACTCCTGCCAGGTCGTCATCCTGGATGTGCAGGTGTGCTGTATGTGTGAGGAGGTGGTCAACAGTCTGTGATGTATCACCACACTCGCATAATGGACTGTCCTTTAAACCAATCTGATAGTGTGGCATTAAATCATCTGGCTCCGGAATGAATCCTGTTTAGTTTAGTTCATCAGTTGCAGGGGAGCTCGTACCCAGGTAGATAGGGTGTTGCATTGCTTACAAAGCACTTGAGATGAGAATCAGTCTCTTCCTACATTCTAGCTACCTACCTACCTACTGTGGATCTGTCAATGGTACATGTGCTTCTGGCTGCATCCATGCTTGAGCACAGACAGCTGGGGATCAGTGACCAGTTCAGATTAAAGTGAGATGCAAACCAGCCACAAAATGTTCCACATTAAATAAACAAGTGACTGAATTAGCATCTGTCAGGGCCCTAAAGTACCACACGGCCCACATTAAATGTGGAACATTTTTGTGGGTGGTTTGCCAATTTTGTTACTTGGCAAATTGGTTGAATGTATGATGTATTTTATTGCACAGTTCACACATTAACTGTGACTTCTGGCTGGGGCCTAGAAACTACCTTGTTCAGAAATGGGTAAGCTTTCATAGGCAACAGCCTACTTTATCATGTGCTAACCATTTGCATCATCAGGTGTCTCTGACAAAGCAGGGGGTTGCCTACTTCAAATGTTTATGCATTTCTGAGTGAGTTTGTTTCTAAGGGTGCCTGTACATTAGTGCAAAGTCTGCGCCAAGGTGCTGTAATTACAGTGCATCGGAGCAGACTCGATTAATTGAGTCTGCTGAAGTATGGTAAGTACCATGCTCCAGCAGCCTTCTGCATCTCGTGTATCAGTGTTCCTGCACTTAAAAATGGGGAACCAGTTTTAGTTCAAGCACTCCCACTGCCATTTTTAAGCACAGGGATACTGATACACGAGACAGTGAGGTGCTTTAATTAGAGGGGCTCTTGGAGCCGCTCTAAGTGAAGCACCACCTCCCCTTCCCCTAGAGCACATCCTATCCTGCCTTCTGCCTGACATCAGACTGACATGGCTAACTACCTTTCCTTTAGCCACAAAGCCTTTGATGGCAACTTTCTAAGCACAGTGATTCAGCCAGTTATGCATTTAGCACTTCAAAGAGGGTCAGAACACAGCTTGTTAATGAAATGCTGTAGTACATAAGAAAAAAAAGCACACGTTCATTCAGAAAATATATAGTGGTTTATTTGGATGATTTTAAAGCAGTGGTCACCAACCGGTGGATCTCGATTGACCAGTAGATCTCAGAGCCTCTTGGAGTCAATCTGAGGCTGGGGTGGGGGGGCTGAGTGTGTCTGCATGCACCTCACCCCCAACCTAGCAGACCAGTCCATAGGGGAGGGAAGGGGCAGAGGCCAGACCAAGGCCTCTGCGGTCAAGGCCAGTGCTACAGAGGCAGGAGCAGGGGTGCGTTAAATGGGTCCCCAGCCGGGCGGGCGGGTGGTGGGAGGATCAAGCCTGGGTGGTTCATCCAGGAGCGTGGGGGGCTCCCGCCACTGTGTGCAGCCTGGCGGTGACCCTGGGGGACACGTGCCCACCCCATCTGTGTGCAGAGGAGGCAGCTTCTGTTGCAGGCTGGGCTTTGCACTCCGAGCCCACCTGCAGCCCACGCAGGAGCGGCCTGACACCACGTGAGTCCCACTGCTGGGCAGGCAAGGGACTAGGCTCAGTCCAGCTGCTGGATGCACGTGGCCTTGGGCCGCTCTCAGGCCAGCTGGAGCTGGGCTCGGGGTGCAAAGCCCAGCCTACAATGGCAGTGGCCTCCACTGTGCACAGCTGTGGGGGCATGTGCCCCTCCGCCCGAATGCCAGGCAGCACCGGTGGCTGCAGCAGCAGTGAGAGAAGGAGGGAGGGGAGCTGGAGCAGGGGCAGGTCCTGCACATCCAGAGTGGGGATGAAGGCGTGAGTGGCTCATCTGGGGGCCACGCAGCCCAGCAGGGCATGGGGGGCATGTGCTGCCCAGATCTGCATGCCGGCTGCCACTGCAGGTTAGGACTGGGGTACACCAGGTGACACTGGGAGCAGGACTATGCAGGCCCCTGAAAATTTGCCATTGCCCCCTCTCCCAGCACTGCTGCCTGGCCTAACCGCAGCGCAGAGCAGACTGCTGCCATTAAGAGCACCACTCTGGCGTCCTGCACCAGCTGCCCCCCTTCCTCCCACAGACCCCGGGGGGGAAGCGGTGGGGTAAGGGGAAGGCAGTGCTGTGCTCTTCATGGCAGTGGTCTGCTCTGCACTGGTTGTGGTCGGGCTAGGCAGTGGCACTGGGAGCAAGGGCTATGGCGAATTTTTAGGTGCTGCAGCCCACCACGTAGCCCCGTTTCCAGCTCCGCCCAGCACACCTCAGCCATAGCCAGCAGCAGCCCAGCGGGCATGCAGATCCAGGGGCACATGCTGTCCATGCCCTGGTGGGCTGTGTGGTCCCTGCTCCCTGCGGCCCCCAGACGAGCTGCTTGCGACTTCGTCCCCTGCCCCAGCTGTTCTGGGCCCACCCCTGCTCCAGCCCCCCTCCCTCCCTGCCATTGAAGACGGGGGAGGGGGGGGCATATCGAGGCCCCAGCAGTGAGGGAGGAAGTGGGCTAGGGCTGGAGCCTCGATCTGTCCCACCCCCCCTCACAGCCCTTTCCCCTCCCCCCACACCTTCCCCCACAGATTTACCTGCTGGGGAGGCATGCCCCCAAATAATTTTTTCTCCCTCTGCCTCAATCTGCCCCTCCCCACTTTCCTCCCCACAGACTTACCTGCTGGATGGGGGGGAGGGGGAAGGGGATGGTGCACAGTAGATCTTGGGTTGCTTTTAAATGCCAAAGGTGATCTACTTAAAAAGGTTGGAGACCACTGTTTTAGAGTGATTTTACTGTGGAATGTAGCTTTTAACAAGACACATCCAGCATATTTTTAGATTTTGAATATTATTTCTGGTAGTTTTATCTACACTGTATTTCATTTAGCTTATTAATGAGAATATAATGAAAGATAGTGTCAAAAGCCTTGCTACAGTTGAGGTGCACCAGTTCCATTGCTCACCCTCTATCCACAAAAC